TCCATCATCACCAGCTAGAGAGGGGGGTGGTATCCATCATCATTCGCTAGAGGGGGGGTAGTATCCATCATCAGCTAGCGAGGAGGGTGGTATCCATCGTCAGCCGTGACGGGGGGGTGCTATCCATCGTCACCAGCTAGGGGGGGGGTGCTATCCATCGTCATCAGCTAGAGAGGAAGAAAAAAACGTTGAAAAATGGAAAAATTCCCCGGCTGGTGCTGGTGCTGGTGCTGCTGATTGTTTGAACAGGACGCTTCCGCCACCGCTTTAGATAACTGCAACAGCAGCAGCAGCAAAGGCGACACACCCTCTCGCCCACAATGAGTGTAGAGAGGTGCACAGCACAGCAGTGGTACTACATCGTCTAGGAACGAGCGTGATGTGTTACTGGTTCCGTGCTGTGATGTATCAGGCCTCCGACACGCCAAATATTTCGGATTGGCCATCTTTCCTCGTGATGCTGGCCGTCAGCCCCGCTGCCACCCTATGATTGTTGAGCTCGTCTACCTTTGGGCATGTGGCGGTCAAAGAAGGGAGTCGCAACCCTGAAAAATGAGCCGGCAAACTGAAGAAATCGCAAGCAACACACAGGGTGCGACACTCTGCCCTGCGCCTGTTGTTGCTGAAAACTGAAAACAGCAGGCCGGGTGGACGGGATCTTTCTATAAGTGTGCTGTCGTTTGTGTCGGGTGCTGCTCATTGCGCTTTTACCTCTATGGTGAGCAATACCAAGCAAAGCGTGTATTCAGGGAAGGAAACGTTCTTTTTACGATGACATAACGAATACTGCACAGCAGTAGAACAAGCGAAAAATGATCGGGTCTTCTTTTCACCTTTCCGTGAAAAAATGCGTGAATTTTCCGTTGCGTCAATGACGAGCCTTATTATACTACAGTCAGTCGAGGTCCCTGTTTGGGGTTGGCAAAGCGATGCCCACATCGCCCACTCTCCCAACTTCGCCCACCCTCTGATTCACAGCCCTGGCAGCAGCTGCGGTATGTTTGTGCGAAGCAACAAGTAAACACAGCAGTAAAGGGTATACCATGCCGTGTGCGGCTGGTGAGCGGTGTCTTTTGCAAGGACGGACGCCGTGCCTTCTGTACTTGATGGTTCATTTTCGGCGAAGCATGGGACTCTATTTTTTTTGTCGTGCATGTGTTAGCTTGTGAAAGATTGTAGTCGGGAGTGGGGGGGGCTGGATAGAAGAAGCGAACTTGTTATATGTGACGGAAACAAAAAAAAATCTATATGGGCAAGGCGCTTGATCGAACATCGTTCAACTATACAGCCCCGTTGCTGCTCTACAATAAATGCCCACCCAAAGCGGGGCCATGACACTGGAATTGCGCACCCCTGCTACCTCCAGCCGGCATGTTGTAGGCCTTCTTCATGCCCATGTAAGTAAGCTCTGTGTAGAGTTTAGATGCATCCTTCAACAACTCAAGAATTCTCAATAAGGCCCGGGTACCGGCCTTATTGAGGAATTGTAGATCCTTTTTAAGACCGATATCGGCCTTAACAAGGGACGTTCCGAATAAGGCCGGGTGCCCTGATTAAGGCCGGTATTTTGCCGTGGCACATTGCGGCCTTAAACAGGGACCTCGACTGTACTGCACTTACAACCGATTTGTTTGGCGTGTTCGGTTATTTCTCAGCATCAGTTTGAAAGCTATTTAGTTCCCGCGTGAGCCGTGTGCATGTCCCGTCTTGTGTGACGGCTGATAGACACCAAGGGGCGAAAGGAGGCGTGGAGACTGAGGTGGCGACTGTCGACGTGCGAGAAAAGGCATAGATTTTCTGTTTTTCTTCCCGTTCAGGTTACGTTTGCAGATTATCCCTCCCCACCCACTGCATGAAGCAACAACAGCGGTGACAAAGGTACCCCGCACGAGCTGTGTGTATGGTTCGTCTTGTATGATAGATGACAGACCAGGAGGCTGTATCTAGGACGCTCAGAAAATATGAGCGTGAGAGCCGTTTACAACCGGGGAAAAGACCGATCGCTTTCAAATAAAAGTGACTGCTAGTGCTCTCTGTTGTCTTCACAATAGATAGCGTTCCATTCCCGATACCTTCATCTGTCCGTACTAGTCTAGCACTTGACGCGGTCGATTCCGGTGGCCGCATGCTAACTTGACCAGCAAATTGGACCCGAAAGGTCTGCAAGTCAATAGCAGTCAACGACAGATGGCCTAGAACCCTCCGCTCGCCTCTACACGCTACAGTAGGCGAGGCAATGAAGACGAAAAGGGAAAACAAAGACTGATTATGGATTGCATAGCTGTCCGCACACGACGAGTGTTCAAAAACTCACTATTTCGGAGCATCTCGCCGACCCGACCGGTGATACCACAAGCCCGCTGAGTACGATGCAGCTCTCCACAACTTCGGCTGAGCAACCAAACGACATGTACAAGCAAAGGAGGCCAGATTCATGCAGAACGAAACACACCATGCATCGTCTACATGGGTCCGCGGTCCAACAACATTAACAACGATAACCTCTGGATGAACGAAAACACTGCTGTGACACTGCACTGCATGCGTCAGAGGACGGCGCGGTTTATATACTTCCACATGTTTCTTGGTGAAGCCGGACACCTTGCCCCGAAGGAGGCCCTAACGCCAACCCTGTCAACGAAGCACTACTGGCAAGGAAGGAACAGAAGAATCGAGCACACAATAACACTCGCGAAAAAATGTTTACGTGTATCAGCAAAACATCGAAAAACAAACCTCAAAGCGGAAATGACGCATACACAGCAAGCAAACAGCACACCACCGCAAATGTGACAACCGAAACCGACTCCCTTCACTCGCTTCTGTGTCTCGCACGCAGCCCCATGCGCGCGTGCACCTCCCGTAGATAGAAAACGTCCATGAGCTGCACCCTTTTCCGCTCAAGAGCAACATCTACGAGACCTCCTAACCACCTATTCGATTTCATTCGGGTTTTCAAGCGGCATCTGCCGAACGTTTTCTGTAAAGAAACAATATTGACGGCTGGCTCCAAAAATGATTGCGCTCGCCACCATCGATACCACTCCGATAAAAGCCATGAGTATGGTGCCAACGCCAGTGTTTTCGTTGCTGCTACCCGTGTCTTCGAAAAGAGAGGAAGCGACAAAACAGCTTTGCGGTGGAGGCCGCGTAGTTCACCTAGATCTCTCAGATATCATTTGGGTTTATTCTTATGCCCTTCAGCCTCCCACGCCTTTAAAAGAACCGCGCGTGCAAACCGTATTGCTCGATACCGTAGCGTCGGAAGTACGTGTAGAGACACAAGGCAGGAGACAAAGGACCAGCACGGGTCGTCTGTGCAGATCGGATCCCACTGACGTCCAAAACCGACACGATCAAGAATGTGACCCGACCTGCGGTTGACAGGCTGGTCCGCGCCCAGTGCAATGGCAGCGAACCCTGCAGTTAAGGAACCTCTCGAGTCCGACAGTTCGGCACCCTATCGCAAGCACTCCAAAATACATTTACTTGGGATCATCAAAGCCGAGCATTTTTTGTGCGATCACAGCCGTCATGTTCCCCACGCTTGCGTCCATCACCGCCAAATAGTCTGCCTTGGCGCCACTAGCCTCTCCTACCACCGCCCGCAAGCCCTCGATGGCGGCCGTCCTGACCTCGGTATTGACGTTGTATTTGCACACCCCTAAGGAAGTTGCGGCCTTCACTTGCGAGTCTGGCAAGCCGGACGCGCCGTGAATGGCAAGAAAAGTCGCGGTGCTCGAAGATCTGCCTGCAGCTTGCGGGGCAGACGGGACAGCGCTCAGCAACATCGAAGGCGAGGCTTCCGTGGCGGCGGCCTTGACGAGACCGAGTCGTGCGAGATCCAGGCGTGGGTCGGACCTGGCGTAGCGGCCGTGAACGTTTCCCACCGTAACAGCGAGGATATCCGCTCTTGTTCTCGCAAGAAAGTCCGGCACCTTTGCCCCAAGTGGGGGTGTTTGTTCGGCACGGGTAGGGACAGTGGGGGCCATGATAAGGGCGGAAGAGCAAGCGCTCCGGAAAGATGCATACGTCACACAGCGGTCGGGGAAGCCGCGCGCATCGAGAGAGGGAACATGCACGTTCCGTGAAGCGCGGAGGGAATTCACGAGGGCGTCGACACCGAACAAGCTTTTCGCTGGTCACCTGAGACGTATTTCCGATGAAACCTGCGAGAAAATAAATGGAAGAGCCCAGCCATCCCCACATCTCTGCCCACGCTCTGGGTCCTGGCATGAGCGCGTGACCAGAGCAATGGTGCACGTTGCACACGAAGCCGTTATACTTCAGAGGAAAATCGCAAAATCCCTGCAGAAAAGCAGAGGGGCTTTCTTCCGCGAAAGGAATCTCCTGTGTGTCTACAGAGGGAGGTAAGAAAGGGTAATCCTGTGTCCCGCACTTCGAATAAAACTCAACAATGATATTACTATTTGGGACAACTTGTGCCCTGTACCGTGGCGGGAGAGAAACGACCCCGCGACGTTGCGGTCTCAAGTACTGCTGTGGACGAAGAGAGAAAAACGGACAACACTCACCGGACCCCGTCCCAGCCAACTTGCTTGCAGGGAGCACCATATTTACGTGCGTCGTCCAACCATTGACTTCCGTCTAGCAAACAACTCTTAAGTCCCCTTGGCAGCGGGACACCGCGGCCGCGACCTGTTTACACCAGACTACGCTTGTGGCGTGTCTTACCTTTAATGTACCCGGCAGGAGGAAAAGCCAGATCCTACATTGACCTATCCCACCGAAAAAACGCAAAGAGCAGCACACTGCGTCCCTTCGAATACGTGAGGGAAGAGCGGATCCCCGTCCCACCTCACCTGCTTTGGATCGGTCATCTTGGCCTCGACCTCAGGCACGCTCAGTCCGTCTTCTTCTCCGGCCAGCTTACCCAGCTCAGCTTCTACTGCCGCCCCAGCACCGTGTGCCAATTCAGCCATGCGTGCCGTCCATTCTACGTTTTCTTCGTATTCCATGGCGCTGCCGTCGATCCTGGTGGAAAGAAAGGGAGGGAACGGCGGGAAGGATGCTGGGGTTGACATGGATTTGCCCAAAGTGACGGGAGCGGGGGTACGATTTAGGGGTACGGTTCAGGGATGCGATCGCATGACGTCCGAGGCAAGACGAGGCACACCGATGCGGACTGCAACCATCGTGCCATGATGATATAAATTCTGCGAGGAAACGCTATTTTCCCCATGGTACACAAGCAACATACAGAACTGCACTCACGCCCGTGTGATTGTATCGCTACTACCAGCAATGATCATCCGTCATGGTGAACCCTCAACACGTCGCCCGACGTGTGTCGTGGCAGTCCAAGTTGCTGACGTGCCAACATAGAACATAGACAAGTCAAAGCACTCTTTGTCCGGGCACCTCATTCTTCTACAAGCTGGCAAGCTGACATCGGGTGACGTGGAGACGCACTCAAGGGTAATCTCCACACTCTCGCGAATCGCCTGGTATGGTGTCGAAAAACAATGTCACAGCTATGTAGTCCACTACTACGAGGCTCCGACGCCAACCCCAGCAAGGCTTCGAAAATCCGAATACCATGCCACCAACACGTGGCGCAGAATTTCTCCAAGAGACCCACATGACGCTGTCGACGCCCGCTTCGAGAGCAGCCGCAACGTGATCCTCATCTGTGCCATGGTCTAACTGCACCGCCAACAACGGGCCACCATTCTTGCCGCAAATACGGGCCGCCAGTACTGCAGCTGAGAGCAGAGGAACCCCTCTCTGGAACCCCAAGGCGGCCGGGTGCGCCTGTTCAATACGAGAGGGTTGAGGGATAGAACGAAGCACCGAGGAGGCAGCAAGGGGCTGATCAATGAGCCGGTACAGTTGGGCGGGTGTTGATATGGAGCAAAGGACGACTCGGGTGGTCATGCCTCCGTGGTGTCTTCATCGCAATGAAATGCGCTTCTGCAGCAATCAGCGTTGGGGGTGGTTGCCGTTGCCTTCACATAACCCCATCCATTGTAGGCACTTCCCCGTGGGAAAGATCATGCACGGAGCGATGTTCCAAAGACCCCCCGTTCCCGGAGCATCAGGATTACGTCGAGCGGGGAAGTATACGGTTGCAATATTCACACTTGGCAACGGATATGTTGCGAGCGAGGGAAAGGCAGCAGTAAGTGCCTAGACAAACACGGGAGAAGCTCCATGAGAGTTTGCATAGCACAAGGACAACACGATATTCTAAGACGCACGAAAAAGCGTATGGTGGCAAACACCCTACCATAGAACCCGCTTGCCAACATCAACCAGTGTTGGTACCTGAAGGATTGCGGAACGCCCGGTAGCCTCCGCTGCCCGTATCACGGCATGAATTCCTTCCAAGTTGTACACGGTGAACGCTCCTACCGCCGCGCCCCGACCCCTTGCCTCTGCTAAGACATCCAGCGTGCGGTTGCATTGACCTGATCCTCCCACGAAGGGGTACAACACCTCTTGTTCTTGTTGGACTGGATCTGTGGTAAGGTGTCCGCCCGCAGACCGATCGGACTTAGGCCGCGCTCCGAGCTGGCAAACGTGGACACGTCGGCGAGATCTGTAAGCGCTTTTTTTGAGGTAGGGGCTCTGACGACTAGTGACTGCGCCCAGTCATCCATAGTCGTAGTGATGGGGGATGCCATACCATACCTTCGAGCGATGGTCGGGTGCCCTCTTGCTGGCGATACAAGCAATGCCTGGGAGGTCAACGACACTTTTTTCCTCTTGGCCTGCACCCCGTCCATGGTGTATGAAATCACCGGCAACAAGGTAACGACGTCGCTGTCAACTCGTCCAGACCGTCGAGCTTTCTGTTACACGACACTAACATCTTCCGGACCCCGGAGCTGCACCAGGCTGGAGCACTAGTGGCTAGTGGATCACTGACTGCTCTTGGCAGAAAGGAAACCCCAAGCTCGGGTGGGAGCTCAAGGTGCTCCTCTGCTGTCGCTTAAAAAGGCAGAGGCACGACGTTCATGGCCGGTCGAGTTCCGCACACCTTAATCATCGCATCGACTAACGCCTCCTTTCCTCCGACATTGCCTGGGAACACCACCAACGGCAAACCAGGCCATCTGCTGTCGTCGGCCATGGACCACACGGGTACGCCCGGTAGAATCTGCCCCATAACCTGTTGAGCAACAACGAAGAGAGTTCCGGTTATTGTGGGCGTTGAAAACAAGCACCAAGGGTTGTGGTCAGGCAAGGAAAGAAATTACGTAACAAGTCATGGGGCCGACAGAAACAGAAAACGGCGCTTCTTGTCTGAGACGTCTTGATCGCCCACGTTACTATCGCGAAATCAACCGTGTTTTGTTACGGTCAAGTCCCGGCGACACCACAGGTTCAAAGCCACGCGATCTGCCGACAATGCCCTCCCTCACGTCTCCCGGACACAGCACCACAAAACACAAGCATAATACTTGCCTCCGCCCTCTTCATCGCAAGTGCTTGCGTGGCCACATCGCTTGACGTGATGCCTCCCTTGGACAAAAGGAACCTTGGCCTTTCCGTTAGTCCCGACACGCACGCCACCAAAGCGGCCCCGACACGCTGGCCGAAGACAAGCCCTCCAGCCCCGTCTCCCTGAAGGGGCACGCCCCGGCTGGTGTACAGGATCACGTCGGTGCCTCGGGAGAGGAGGAGGCTCACCTTTCGAACGAAAGAGAACGACACCGGTTTGAGAACAACCGGTTGTGCTTTTTGCTAGCGAAGTCGGCCCTTTACAGGATACCCCAGTCGCGACTGCCGCAGACTCACGGATCACTCGCGCCGGGCATAACGCATGCAAACACTCGACGATTTCTTGCTCTGAGACGCAACACCTGGTGTTGTTCCGCCACTCTAGAAAACAAGCAAGTAGTTCCCGCACCGCGCTGGCGCCGAAATAATAGAAAGGCAAACCATGAGTATTGTGCCACGAAGGAGTTTCTCGCCGCACCGCCCTACCGGAGTGTCGTTCAGTTTGAAGCGCCAGGTTATATTTACCTACCAAGAATGTCTTCTCGTTCACAGAATACTAACTCACACCGCCGCCGTAAGCCGACTGCTTCGAAACAACAAAGGCCCACGCAGTCTACCAACACCTTTTTACCGTTGAAATTAGGGGGTTTTCTGTGCCCATTCCCCGCGACAGGCACGCTCGCAGAGTCCAGAACGATACCTGCCCTACCCCCCCCCACGGCACACACATGTTCAGGCCCAGACAACACGTCACTTTAAATTCGCGGGGAAATGACGGTGCCCTCCACCCAACCAACGGGTGCCGCGGCGACAGGGCAAGGGCTCTCGAGGAACCAGTCAGATATATCAGGTTATCGTATCACCTCCGCGCGCACTCTCTCCACTTCCTGCCGAGACGCCGCTATCCCCTCTTGACCGTCCCCGACGACCTCCGCTGCGCGGAGCTCCACCCCCTCGGCATCCATGGCCTCCAAGGAGTGTTGCAGCTGCTCCGTTGTCTTGGCGACGTAAGACCTATGCGTGGCGAGGCGACAATCGTGTGCTAGGTTTGGGTCGGACAGCCTGTGCGATTGTTCACGTTGGTCCTGTAGGTGGCGGTATCTTCATGTTGTCCTTGTTCTTCTGGGTGCTTGTTTGGTCTTGTTTGGTCTTGTTTTCGTCTTGTTTTCGTCTTGTTTCGTCTTGTTTTCTTCTTGTTTTCGTCTTGTTTTCGTCGCTGGTATGTTGCAAATAGTTGGTGTGCCAGAGATGACAAACCCTGGCTTGTGCAAGTCAGCGGAGTCCTTTCCTGTGGCGGTCTAGCCAGGCGAAGATTATCAAGACCCAGCTTGCTGGCGCGAAACATCAAAAGGCGGAAACAGGTTACACATTCAAACCGGGAAACGAAATAACATTTACAAGTCCCACAGGGCGGCCTCCCCAGGGTGAGAGGGGGGAGGCCAAGCCGCCAAGCCCCGATAGAGAGGGGAAGAAGGGTCGTTGCAACAGGAAAAAAAGCGCAAATACATCGACAATGCAACGGCACGGTAGTACTTTTGTCGGCCAAACCTAAGCGACGAGCGGTTTTGGAGAAATAACATTGGGTCGGAAATGAGGCGTAGGTTTACGGCAACCGCGGCTTCTTGACCCGCAACTGCCGTCACGGTATTGACAGGTCGGTTTGAGCGCGCTCTGCAAATCGAAGAATCGAAACAGACAGCCAGTGAGTACCACCCAGATCCCTTCCCTGCGGTTTCGGGTCAACCTAGGACGACGGTCGAGCCCAAGCTCACTCTAGCCCGAATTTAGCCCTTGACCGGATGTAACTCACCCCATACCTTTCCTCACCAGTAGCGAAAATCGGAGACAACACCCCCCCACGAGTGGTGCTTCGGTCCCATCGGCCGTCACTCGCCCACACCGAGACCACCACACGAGAAATGATTATTTGCTGCATACCGGTTTGTAGCGCGGGTAAGACTTGGACAGTATATGGAAGATCGACTCGATTTTTTTCTCACCCGACAACCGTCAGACCGCCTTCGCTCCCGGCCTCCCCCGCCTTCACCCTTAAGGCGTCGAAATCCTCCGCAGCGAGAAGAGGCCGGCGGTCGACCGCACCTCTCACGGCAACCAGGTCCGCGGCGCTCCGGAACAGGAATCTTTTCCCTTCCAGCTCTTCTTCCAGCATCCCCTTAACAAAAACCTGCCTTGGACGAGGTATGACCGAGTTTCTATCGGTACAGACTACTGTAGGTCGCGAGCTATGGTACAGGGTTGCGATCGTCTTCAAGACCGTGCGGTTCAAACGTGTTTTGCGCACCACCTGTGCGGTTATACCTCGGACTGTGCGATAAATCCTACTGTACCCCGACGGGGGGAGTTGAGAATCGAGAAAATAGTTCTGGTATTTGAACACACACTCCAGGTGCGAAAACTCTGGACCTGCACAATACTGAATAACTCACAGCGGGTATGCTAGTACTGATCCGTGTGATCCTGAACAAAACCACAGCAATATTTCTGGAGGGTACCGCTGAATACTCGCGCAAATCACCCAACGCAACACACCAAGACAAAAACGTCGGAAAAGTACAACACCGCGGTGCCTACACGATATCTCCTCGAACGTGCCAGGAAGCCGGAGAGACAGTCAGACAGACAGAAGACAGACAGACAGACAGAATATTGAGAGAGAGGCAGACAGACAGACAGACAGACAGACAGACAGACAGACAGACAGACAGACAGACAGACAGACAGACAGACAGACAGACAGAAGTCCAGCCACTGCACGCATTGGACAAGACACGAAATCAATGGCGAAACGAGCAAACCAAAGACGACGAGCCACGAGGCGCTACCTCAGCCCACCTGCAAGTCTCGTTCCTCGACGGCATTCACGACCACGCAGCCTCCTTTCGCTTCCCCCAGCCGCTCCCTCACCACCGGCGGGCCCCCTTCCCTCAGATCTCTCAGCGACACGGACACCACGCGCTCGGTTGCAGTGGGGGGCTGCCGCCATCGCCCCTTGTCCGATTCCGCCACCGAAGCCTTCTCGCGGATCCAGTCGACGAGGTTCGACGAGCGATACCCGAACGCCTTGTCACGGGCGAACTCCGTTTCGCCCGCGGGGATTAGGGCGACGGCGTCGTCGTCGTTGTCGGTACCCGATCCTGGCGGTGTTGCTGCCGTTGTTCCTTGCTGCTCGACGAAGTGGACGTCTCCAGCTGTGATCCTACCGCCGGCCTTGAAGAAGGGGACCACTATCCAAGCGTCGTGCTGGACTGTCCTTGCACGGACGTGTTATCGGATTTGATGGTGATAGTGGCGTGTCGGATGATCAGGTTGCCGTCAAATGAGAGGTTTCACGCGTTTAGATAGCAGGCTCAGAGGAAGGATGATAGTGGTGTGGGCTGTCCTCATCAAATGTGTGAACAAACACCCATGAACAAACACCCAACCGCTTGTTAGCATCGGAAGCACGCGAAGACTAGACTCGGATGTCAAGAAAAAAAGGCTATTGGTCGCGAAAAACAAATGTCGCAAGTACGAGGGTGGATGTCACCTTCGGCGGTACCGCAATGCCGTGTGCATGACACCACCAAGTTTTCATTCCCATGGTGGTCCCCTCAATGTGCTGGGTACAGCTTCACGTGCGAAGCCCCCTCCGTGAGACACTTTTGCTTGACGTCGTGGACTATCGTACAATCACAGGCCCAAATCGAATCGGAAATTCCAAAACAAACTTCCCCAAATGACATCGGAACAAACCGTGCTCTCCCACTTTCGCGCATGTATCCTTGTGCAATCGCCATGCTAGTGTTCGCTGCTCTTGCGCATTTGAGATGCGAAAGCCAGCGGCGATGGTCCTATCGTCATCACTGCCTCTACACACCCGTCTCCTGCACAATTTCGATTCAGTGTTGGTGTTACTCACTCACCCCTCATTCCTCTTTCGAGCGAGACCAAATCGCTGGGGAAATGTCCCCTCAAAGTAGAGTCTCCTCGCGATACCATCGACACCTCGACCCCCTGAGAAAAAACGAATGCGCATGTATGGGGCGTCCGGGTGAAACAAACATCCGGAAATTGTTCCGTGTTCCCCTATTTATCCTGGTCCAACCTCTCCGCAGACACCATCCTCGCTCTTCGCGGCGGCACGACCGTGGCGAGCCAAACGACCAAATGCAACCCAGACTCCCAACAGGAGGGAGGGCCCAGGGCTAAGTCGAAACGGACAAAGCACGGTGTTGATGCCGAGCTGCATGTGTCGGCACAATGTTGCCCATGTTTTGGCGCAGCGGCAATGACATTGACCAGTGCGACATGCCTTCAATCTTGAGTCGCCCGACAAAGCAAGCCAAGACAAAGCTAAGAATGGCGTGACCCGGTCTTGTTCAATTTGGCCATCAAGTGCTAGCATCAAGTGCTAGATGAGAGGCCTGCAAGGTCTTCAACAAGACCGAGATAGGGGTTTTCTCTTTTGCTGATGACTCAAACGTATATAACGTCATGACTTGCCGTGATTAATCTCCGTCATTGCCTACCGTGTTACCGCGTGATGAATTACCACAATGAAGTACCGTATAAAAACCCTGATTCGACACTTACCGTGATTCGACATGCCGCTCGGAGATTTTTTGCGATTTCCTCGAAGAGCTCGGAGGCCTCGGTAGGCGGCAGGGCCCTCGCGTTCGTGTTGAGGTACATGACGCGATATCGTCCGGGAGATCTCAGCTGCAAGGAAAGATGCAACAGCACGCCACCATGCAGCCGGGTCGTGAGGTACTTGGTGGAAATTGCGTATGTATGTGCATGTCTCCTGCGATAGACTAGAGGCCGAGTTGCCAGGAAGGAAAGCTTGGCAGGCTCCTGGCAAGCATCGACGTAGCGACTTTCATTAGACGTGGAACAAGAAGGTTGATGGCTGCACATGGTAAGAAAAGGGCTATGGCACAAGCACCGTGAACAGTGGCACCCGTACTGTGGAATCGTGGACCCTATGCTCGACTCCCAGCCTTCAAATATCGCAACTACGAAAGAACGCAAAAATTAGTGCCTCCGGTCCAAACACTCAAGGTGTAGGTGACTCGTGTTTCCACACAAGCATCAGCAGAGATGTGGTGGGTGTGTCTCAGAAAGCATTGTAGAAATCATATAAACGTCGGCCTTCGAAATTCAGAGCGTTGGGCATTATTCAAACCCTGACCCCCTTCCAGGGACCTTGATTTTGCCCGCTGGCACTGGCGTATTTTCATCGGTCAGCCGGATAGCAACGCCGTTAATCGTTGTTGTCCTCCTCACAAAAACAACGGCTCCGGTCTCTGCTAAGTAGAAGTACTTATCGATATCGATACCGGTCCAACTGAGGCGGACGCCGTCCGTGGTCACCGGTCACCTACACAACAAGGGAAAACAGTACAAAAAATCACACACACCAAAAGACTGACTATTTTTCATCGATCAGTCCGTTAAGCGCCGCCGTCAAGGCTAGTTCGTACCGCATACCTCTTTGACGAGAATATCGACGGACCACTCCGCCAGGACGGGCACGCTGTGCACACTTTGCGTGCCGGTAGGGTCGTCATCTAGCACCACGAGCATTCGACCCACAGCGGCCACGTCTTTTCGGATGGCTTCGGCAAGATCCGACGGGTACACCGGGGGCAAAGATCCCACCAGCTCGCTCCGAGTCCGTGGAAAGATTACCGATGGTGACGAAGGGGGTGCCGTCGAATATGACGAACGTCGCCATGCGTAAGTTGTAGTAGGGAGAAGGAACCGTCGTGCTGCCACGATCGACGTCCACTCCTATCAATAGGAAGGGGTTAGAGGGGTGAAAGACAGTGAAGGATCGAGAATGCGACGGATGCGATAGGAAGCGCGAAAGCGCAAGGTAGCGCTCAAGACCAATGTTGCGAGGTTTCAGTTTCATCAGGAGGGGGTGGGTGGAGAGGAACCGGTGAAAATGAGCGAACCAGTTCATAGCGTGTGCCCGATGTTGGAAATTGCTTATTGACTTGAAAAATAATCCATCAATCAAATCCGGCTCTTGCGTGTAAGTCCCGCTTTGACAAAGGAACGGTTGTGTAGGTTTCGGTACTTATCTGTATTCACAAGCCGCTTCCTCTGTGTACCCCCACCGCTCACGCCGTCGTCCTTGTGTAGAGATATTTCACACTATCAATTAAATCCGGATCTGTGTGTAGGTCCCCGGTTTGACAACTGAACGGTCATCTGTCGTAGTGCCACAGCCCGAGCCCACTGGTTGTGCGTTCGACTGACCACAAAATACAAAAAGCAGGCGGGAATCAGCCGGTCTTGTGTGGTGTATTTGTTACTCATCATTTAGAAAGGTTAGTATACCATTTGAACGTAAGAGTTGTCTGGTGGGATGTTTGCGCGACTCACTCTGCCGCAAACCGAAGTAGGTGCGAATCAAGTCTAGCCCGTGTTTTTCCACCTGCAGAAGACATAACGCAGCGGGAACGTCACTACGCATACGTTGAATGTACTAGAAAACTTTCCACATAGTGCTTCCTCAAAACTGAAGTACACAAATAACCTAACCAATACCAGCACCCCCAACCCAGTATTTAACCCACTATAGGGAGAACGTGTTGTTTGAGATTCTATTACGTGTATGTTAATAACCTGCACGCCTATGGTGACGAACGAGCGTTGTGAGGGTGGGGAGCGGAATTCCTGTGACCAGAGGGATAGTCCCCATGACCCCTAGACATGGTATGTGGGGAAGGACAAGTCTCGAAGAGACATTACATTTTTTGCTGCTTTGGATGTGATTGGCTCCACGTGCTGCTATACAACAGGAACTTCTGTTTTTACTTCTCGATCAAGTGGCTAGACTCTGGGTCTTGTTGGTCATGGTTCTAAATACAGAGCGCGCCGCCATTTGTAAGAGGCTCCAACGCCGAAAAAACTATGAACTTGACCAAACAGAACCAAGCCTTCGGTCAAGACGAGCTTGTACACCTTTTTTTTTGTTTTGTTATCCCATCATTGGACTCTGTCGTCTGCCCCTCTGGCCCCTATCCTCCACTTCTACCAGCTAGACGACCCAACCGGGGCCACATAGGAGGGGGGGGTTGGACCCCCTCCTGCGGTTCCTGCCTGAGATATTTTTATCGCGAGATGGGTACAGCAATAATCCCTTCCCTCGCGACTTATGAAGTCGATCAAGTTTACAAACAGCGAGCTTTGCAGGGCATCGCTTCCAACGGAGGCCCGGATTTAATTTGCGAGAAAAAACTCGCTCTGTCGGGAATCGAACCCTTGACCTGGCCCTTAGCAGGCTGCGAGGCTAACCACTAGACCACCGGGGCGACCGGTGTCTGTGAACTGCTGTGATCTTTCTTTTCTTTTTCTCCCTTTATTGAACTCTGTCGTCTGCCCCTCTGGCCCCTATCCTCCACTTCTACCAGCTAGACGACCCAACCGGGGCCACATAGGAGGGGGGGGTTGGACCCCCTCCTGCGGTTCCTGCCTGAGATATTTTTATCGCGAGAAGGGTATTGCAACCCCTTCCCTCGCGACTTCTGATCTGTGACTGGCTGATTCCTACGGACCACCTCCACCAAGGACACTTTTCTGGTGCGAATAAGCTGGGCACAAGGGATGCCACTACGTCATTTCGGCCAACAGGCCGGATCTTCTCACTTCGTTAGATCGAGACAGAAGAGTGAGGGCTGCCGGTGCCAAACACGCGCAGCGCTAGCTGGTAGCGTCCGCTGGCGCACTGATGGGTCAATATCTGTACTGTTGAGATAAGTCACGAAAAAATCCGAGCCGTAACTTGTTTTCTGAGGGGGTGCTGAGCACTGAATGCAACTGTCTCTGACAGCCAAGAATAGCGGGGAAATATGGCCAAAATCCCCTTCTATCAGGTCTATGTTAAACAGACACTCACTGGCGAGCACATGGTGGTTCACCGAACAACTGTGGCCGCAATGCTCTACCTTCGGGGAGCGTAAGAGGTCCCGAACAACCCCCTACCCTCGGGCAATAGGTCCCTGTCGGTCTATGCGTGGTCCGTGAACACAGCACGCACACAGCTGGGCAGAACAGGAAAAAACAACAGAATATGCACATCGCGGGACCGTAAGTGGCAGGAACTGCTGTTGTTTCAGTCGGCTTCATATCTGTGGGGTCAGGAACCGAGGGCAGAACAGGCAGGCTGGGTTGTGCTACTGTGTTCACTCTCCTTCATGTAGCTTACCAACACCAAGCTCGCTTGTGGAATGACTGAGACAGTCTACACGGCAAGATGTTCGCGGAATAAGCGGTTTGGGTCTTTGCAACGCCCACAAGTGTTTCACGACGTGAACGCCACGCCAGCACAGCAGCTGCCAACCACTGCTGTACCAGCGCAACCAAGCACACGCCGCCATGGTGAAGGTCTGCATCTGTAGCAGTCTCGCCGGGGTGCCGTGATGAGGGCACAGCACCGGGATTGAACACGTGACTTTTGGAATAGTCTAGCCAATAGATGCTCTCCCCCAGGGCACAGGAACGTGGACATGGCAACAACTTTTGTGCACATGGACATGCGGATGTAACTGCAAGTTCGGATCGGTCTTGAGTCGTGGTACTGTTTTCTAGCATGTTGCGTTCGGCACTCCTTGGGGAAGTATCTCAAGGGAATAAAAAAAAAAAACTTACGAAATGCAGTGCGTGCGCAGAGTGCTGTTGTTGGCTATCGGTGGGAGAATGCGTGTTCAAGCCCGTTGTCCGACAACCGGATCTTGACGTATTTCTCCCAAGATCTGCTTGCTGGCCGCAGTTTGGCGGCCGTGGGGTGTGCTCCCACGCCCACCTCCAACACAGCAACTCTCCACCCACAGCCTACACAGACCACCCCTGCCAAAATCCGGGCCGATGGTAATGACGACACGCCGTGGTCCGTACCGTAGTCCCAACGCGTGCGCCGTGCCCAACTGCAAGCTCAACGAGGCCGGCAGTCACGCAGTCACCCGTGTGGAGAGTGCAAACGACACGTCCATTCGGTTTGCATGAACGAGATGTTTGTTGAGGAGGGATACCCCTGGTACTGTGGAGGGAATCGGTGCCTTTTATGGCCCCGCCCGACGCAGCGCCCACCCCCAGCAGGTCGGCTAAGGTGGTAGGCAGCCGGAACAGGAATCAGCACCAATCCCACCCAAGTCGCAGCAGTGCAGGGACGCCGTCGATCCCTTGGCGGGTTCGAGAACAACACACTCGTCGGGGCTGGCCAGCTCAGCACCGGCTGTGCTGCAGGGCAGAAGTGCACCCGGGACGGCTTCCCCACGATCACCACCACGACTTGCTGCGGGCCGGAACCACATGCGGGTCGGACCCACAGCAAGTAGTCGCGGTGATCGTAGGGAACCTGTTCCGGGTGCACGTTTCCCTGCAGCACAGCCGGTGCTGAGCTGACAAGCCACGAACGAGTGTGTTGTTCTCGAACCCGACTAGGGCATAGACGACGTTCCTGCCCTGCTGCGACTGGGGTAGGATTTGGTACAGATTCCTGCTCCGGCTGCCTACCACCTTAGCCGACCTACTGGGGGTGCTGCTTCGCAGCCACCCGCGCAGCTTGCTGGGGCTGGGCGCTGCGTCGGGCGGGCGCCACAAGGCACCGATTCCCTCCACAGTATCAGGGGTATCCCTCCTCAACGAACATCTCGTTCATGCAAACCGAATGGACGTGTCGTTTGCACTCTCCACACGGGTGACTGCGTGATTGCCGGCCTCGTTGAGCTTGCAGTTGGGCACGGCGCACGCGTTGGGACTACGGTACGGACCACGGCGTGTCGTCATTACCATCGGCCCGGATTTTGGCAGGGGTGGTCTGTGTAGGCTGTGGGTGGAGAGTTGCTGTGTTGGAGGTGGGCGTGGGAGCACACCCCACGGCCGCCAAACTGCGGCCAGCAAGCAGATCTTGGGAGAAACACGTCAAGATCCGGTTGTCGGACAACGGGCTTGAACACGCATTCTCCCACCGATAGCCAACAACAGCGCTCTGCGCACGCACTGCATTTCGTAAGGTTGTTTTTTGTATTCCCTTGAGATACTTCCCCAAGGAGCGCCGAAAGCAATACGGCTGGAAAACCGTACCATAACTTGTGATCAACCCAAATATGCATCTGCATCTGCATATCCATGCATACAAACTTGATGTGAATGTGACCCCTTTTGTCATGTCTACGTTCCTGTGCTCTGGGGGAGAGGATCTATTGGCCAGACTATTCCAAAAGTCACGTGTTCAATCCCGGTGCTGTGCCCTCATCACGGCACCCCGGCGAGACTGCTACAGATACAAACCTTCACCACCATGGCGGTGTGTTGCGCTGGTACAGTAGTTGGCAGCTGCTGTGCTGGTGTGGCGTTCATGTCGTGAAACAATTAGCGTTGCAAAGATCCAACCCGGTTCTTCCGCGGCAAGAGAGATCCCCCGTGTAGACTGTCTCAGTAATTCCACAAGCGAGCTTGGTGTTGCGGGGCTAATTACGAGGGGACTCACGTGGGCCATCAGAGGAGAGTGAACGCAGCAGCACAACCCAGTCTGTCTGTTCTGTTCTTGGTTCCTGACCCCAGAGGAATGAAGCAAATTGAGACAACACCAGTTCCTGCCACGGACGGTCCCAGTACCCATTCCGTGCCCGGTACTTCTTCAGAAAACAGACTTCGGCTCAGACTTTTTCGTGACTCTATCTCGATAGGACATACAGACAATACTGACCCCCACCAGCGCGCCGGCGGACGCTAACAACTAGCGCTGCGTGTGTTTGGCAACGGCAGCCCTCGCTCTTCTCTCTCAAACGAGCGAAAAGGGAAGATCTATTTAGTCGCTTGGCCGAAGTCCTGCAGTGGCATCCCGTCCCTAGCTTTTTCGCACCAGAAAAGAGTCCTTCGTGCTCAATCACGTATCATACTGTGTGTGTCGTTGTTGGGTTACAGTACTAAGCAGAGAAACGTTAAATAGAACTCGGCTTCTATAAGTCGTTCTTAAAGTGCGAGGGTTGCGGTATTGGTGGTTGCGCCGCCATGCTGTCATGTGGCAAGTTGTGCGTTACATATGCTACACCTTCCTAATGTACAATATAGACTATATGGATGCATCCCGCTGGCTCTGCGGGAACAAACACCACTGCTTGCTTTTGGCGACTGTTTGTCTACTCTCGTCCGTCGTCCGGTAAGAGGGTTACCCCTAGGGACCACTAACCCTACGGAAGGCCTGGAGTCTACGCCAAGTCGGGATTGACGGCGTGCCACGAGCTGCGGTCTCTACAGCTGTAGTAGTGGCCCTCTTTAGATACAATTTGTTTACTGACTGGACACATGTTTTCGAGACGATACAGCATCAGCAGCCGTAGGCAAATGCACTGTATTTCAGGGTTGATATTTCATCAATGAGCACCGGTCACCCGCATAACGCGATATGAGACGAGCTGCCTCTCTATTAGAGGAAACAAGACTTCACACAATCGTGGAAAGTGTGGCCATGTTCAAGTGTGCAGTCGAGATGAATACCGCAGGTAATAGAGTTGCAGCACTTTTCGGTTATGCGCAGGCGCAGTTATGCACCCCTTGCGGCCTACCTTTGCCACATGACGACGAAGCAGGAAGAGGGCTTCCATGTCGTCGCCACTGCAGAAGGTGTGATCCTGTTGGTGACCGGTTTCCCGTGTCTGTTGCTGGTTGGTGGGCTTGCCAGCTCGTTGCTCGTGGCTGGCTTGCTTGGTTTGTTGAAAGTGTGACTTTTGGGGGGTGACGCAGGATCCATTGGTTTTGGTAGGTTTGAATTGGAGGCTTTTTCAGCTGAGGGCAATGAGATCATGCACGAATGAAACCATTCAGCTTAACGTCATCCACAGATCCCTCGTAGTTTTGCAGCCGCCGGGGAGTAAAAAAACTGCAGGTTCGTTCGTGTTCTGTGCCGGCTACAGCAAACCAGTGTGCATCGCCACAAGTCGCATCTTCAACAATCCCAGATCAGTAAGCATACAAGTATCACAACATGGCGAGTATCGGAGGTTTTGTTTTCGCTGGGTCACAGTGACCCCGGTTGGGTCGTCTAGCTAGTAGAAGTGGAGGATAGGGGCCAGAGGGGCAGACGACAGAGTCCAATGATGGGAGAAAAAAAAAAAAAAAAAAAAAAAAAAAAAGATACACTGTCCAAATGATGCTTAGCTCAAGTAGCATTTTGAATTGTTTGGCGGGAAGAGGCATTTTTGTCTGAGTAATACTCTGGCACTCATGCCTCAGAGAAACACGTCTGTGTGACGAAAACCTGGAGCAAAATAGGAGAAGACGGCCGCCTGCTGCCCAAAGTCCTGAGCAGGAAATCCATCAAAACTAAACCTGGTCTAAGGACTTCCATCTGCTGCTTCAAAGTTGCCTGCTATCGTAAGGGGACACAATATAAAAGCCAATGTTTTGTACATGCATGGGTGGTAGAAAACCCAGAGAGGTGGCCTAAACAGACGATGAAATCCAGGAGTGTGTGCGTGCACGCAACCCCTTCTTGTCTCACCCGCGGCCCTGACTATGCGTGTGCTGGTACGTGAGCAAGAATGCCTGGTTCAGGTAAGACGCGTCAGGGTGCTTGGTCTCGCAGCGCCCGTTTCTCTCTAGGGTGCACCCAACCAAGGAGAAGCTGCTAGCTCGGGGAGGAATTGACGAATATTTCAACAGTCATCCCTCATGGCACGAAGGTGCGGAGCAGCAACAACCCTTATTCACTCCGGAAGAACCGTGCAGGGATTGCCGAAAAGTGCACGCACAAAAGAGGGAGCCCGCCCGCGAGAACGTGTCTTGGAATTTCGTCCGGTTATGGAAGCACATGATCTTTTGTGTCTTTCATTGGGCAGCCCGATAACCCCAAATAGACGTGTTCACATAAACCACTGAAAATTTCTCCGGTAGGGGAACGTGGAGAGGCGACAACACTCGAGCACCCAGGGTTTGGGTCGTTCTTCGAATTCTGGTCCCCTTCTACAGACCATGGTTTTCACCCGCTAAGTAAGGCCCAGCGTCTTTCCGGTGGTCAACGGGCTGCAAGCGCAATCGATGCGAAGTGATCACACTAACACTAGCTTCTGCAAGTGCACTCTGCCATCCTAGTCTGGGCTGATATTTCGAGTCTTCTGCGGCCTTCCGCCAGAGGAACCTGAGGACGGAGACGCAAGGGTTGAAACCATATATTTTCCCCTGAAAGACCAACGTGCCCTCATTGCTCCGTTACTTCAAACACCGTTGCTATCGTCCAGCTGCTGAGGACGAGTCAAGCGTTTCCTGTACTTCACCGGATGCGGATGGTCCCGGGGAGTTTTCGGTCTTGTCTACGCCAGTACCCTTGCCCTTGCCCTTGCCCTTCCCGTCGATCCCTTCCTCGCACACGTCCATTCTGTCGCCACTGCCACTGCCGCCGCCGCTAGGGTAACCCTCGCTGCGATTCGGTGCGCTTTCTGCGTCGCCCACTATACTGGCCTTATGTCCGTCTTCGCTGCCGTCTTCTACCCCGTCAGATGTTGCTCCTGCAGCTCCTGCCGTTGCTTTCGCTGTCGATGCCGTCCCCAACTGCCGCGAAACTGGGGCGGTGGCGAACGTAAGGAAAGCAGTGTGCCCCCGCATCAACGGGAACGGCTGGGCGCACACGAGCTTGAGGGGGGGCTTCCGCGCGCCCCCCACCTTCTCCGCCGCCGCTTCCGCGGCACGTATCGCAGCCTTGGGTTGAAGCCGCTCATTCCGCCCGCGCCCCGTTCTTGACGCCCCATCGTCGACTCCGGGCGTTGCGGTACCGCTCCCGCCCCCTTGTTCTCGCGGCCGCTTCTTTGAGTCCGGCACAGCCGCTTGGTCGCCCTCCATCGGCTTCATACCTTCACTTCTCGGAGCAGCGGCATCTCTGGGGTTGACGTGGCAACCCTTTGCCGTAACGCCGTTCTCGCCCACCCCCGATGCCTCTTCCTGGCTGCTGACCTTGGCGCCGTCTTGCGCCGAAATATTACCTGCTCCTTTCTCTTCCACCACTGTTGGAGGAACACCGTTATCGCCATCATCGGTTTTTAGTTCGACTGTCACAGCTCCTGTGGGTTTCCCGTCCACTTCTCCATGCACCCTACCGCCTACTACTGCGCTATTGCTACTGCTGCCGTCGTGATCGGTGGCTGCAGAAGCAGCCGGCAATTTGGAAACGATGGATGCTGCTGCTGCTGCTGCTGCTGCTGCTGCTGCTTCATTGGATCCGAAGTCGGGCACGTCCAGCTGCACTTCAGCGTAGTTGATGTTGCGGAGGCGAAACTCGATGGTAGAAACCGAGTTAAAGCCTTCCGAGCGGAGAGCCTCGCAGGTCTTCATCACCTGGAGGAGGAGGCGCGATAGCGCGCTCGTTTCTTCGAGGATAGGAAAATCGTGCAGAAAAAGGACGGCGATTCCCTCACAAGAAGGGGTAGCTGGCATTGGGATCAGAATGGACTCCAACAGACGAAAGACGATATTCGTCATCCTCGACAACACGACAGCGCCTGTGATACATGCTGCGGGGTGGGTTCATACCACGCCGTATGCGCAGGAGTGAGGCCAACTACACCAGCACCAAGTGTTGCAAGGGCGTAAATACGAACTGCTAACCACCCACTACGTTCTAGCTAAGCGGTGGAAGTAACCAACTCTCACCTGTTCGATGCACGGTGAGTAGGAGCAGAGCTTCTTGCCGGGCTTGAGGGTCATCTTGGCGTGCGCCACGGCCAGCCAGGGCTCCGGGAGGTCGAGAAATACGGCGTCCGCCTTGCCGTCCAGCTCTTCGCCGAAACCGCCGCCGTCACCCCTCGAGGCGCAGACGTCTCGATGCACGGCCTTCACGAGGCCGCCTGGAAGAGGCAGGGCACAGTATCCCGAATCGGGTGAGTTCAAGCTTGGCTACAAAACTCATCATCACAAAAAAAAATGTTAACGCATCAGAGGGCTAGGGTCGACGACAGGCGGGGTTGATTCTTCCTTCTAGGGGGGGGGGACGAGCTGCAGAAAAAGCGTGCAGCGCCTGAGTGTTAGTGGGAAAAGCTATTCGATGTTTCGGACGTCCGTGCTCCTTGGTCCGTGCACGCTTACATCGAAAACCATAGTCTACTTAAGTTACTTCATTCGTTCACCACTTGCACTTCGCTGCCTCAGCTTGTGATTTACTTTTCCATGGTTTTGAAAACGTCTCCCACGGTTAGGTTCGAAAACGCAAGTACTATGTAGCTCTATACGGAACCATGTGCGAAATAGTCTTGAACGCTCACCCAGCGCGTTCTCTTCGAACTCTTCCTGGGCCCTTGTAGCCCTGAACTCGTTGAATTCGAAGGAGTGTAAAAAGCCAGACGGCGCGATGGTGCGCATGATTGCCTGCCATGGCCAGAGCAGTGCGGCATCGTGCCAGTTAGCCGTCTCGGAAGAAACGTTAGGGGGGCTCAAGCTGCTGGTGGTGTGCTAATGCTTGTGTCAGACAGTACACTGTCAAGGGCGGGACTGAACCCCTTACAACAAACACAGGGGGAAAGGTGCAGTAAACTCGGAGTTCCCTGCTTCCTGTTCCAGCCGCGGCGTCTTAACTCTGCTACTTGCACACCCAACGGAACAGTACTCAGACGTGGAACACGGGACGCTTCAGCGCGCGCTTTTCAGAGGGCAACGAAAGCAACCAAAGGAAGCAGGAGGACAAGGTCTAGGTTTCGGTGGAAAGTTTCCGGCGAGAGCAATTTATCTGCATAGGATAGATATAGGTCAAAGCAGGCGGTGGACAATATGCGATCCGGACCCTTGAGTATGCAAGGGTTGATTCTTGCATGGCGTTCAACAACAGCCTTCAGTCTGTATTTAGAACCTCATCAGATTGTGACGTTACGAATTGGACATAGGGCGTAATAGACGACTTGACGGGTACATGTGATCGTTCTACCCAACCGTGCGAACAAACTGGTATTGGATCAACCAAAACAAGGACAAGTACAGGGAAAGACCGCTGCTAGCGAAAGTCGCGAACTGTCGACTTTCACGCTGTAACATGTCCAACTACTCTTTCTTGAACTGCCGTGGGCGTGCTTACCGTCGACATGACCCCGCTGCCTGTGCCCGACTCTACCACGGTATCCCCCGGCTTCAGGTCAAGGCGAAAAATCACGATGCTCTGGTCGAAGTCCTAAAATAGGGAGTCGGGAACGACAAAAAAAGGGGGTTTAAGGGGGAAGACGCAGGGTACTGAAGGGCAGCGCGTCGTCGTCATAGATGCGTCTGTGGCAATGATGATGCTGCGGGTGCTGGGATACGCATGCGGCGTTCTTGCTCGCAAACACCGGCCAGGCAACGAGGTCGTTGCACTTTCTACGACATGATGTACGTCGGGGTAGGCCTGATATGAGTCATGCGCGATCCATCCCTCTGCTGAGCACGTTCTAAGGGGGCAACATGCCCGTCCACAACAGGCAGAACATATCTGGCCTGTCCTGTTGGCGTGCGTTCGAACCGTCATGTCATACCACGCCAAGCGTTGAACAGAAAGCACACGCATGCCTCTCTAATCGTATCCCTACCCTAACAGAAAGCACACGAATGCTGCCACACGAGAACCGGGAAGCTAGCCGTGGCTGCAGATGGAGCTCGCTGGGGTTAGCATCTTCGAGGTGGCACACCTGCACGATCTGCGTGCGATTGGGCACGACGTGGGACCAGAGCTCCGGCGTTGGCGACAAGGCGTACACGTAGCCCTTCGTGGTGCGGGAGAATACCTGGCAGATTACGCGAAACGGAGAAAAGGGGTGGTATCGAGAAAGCAGAAGTGGGAGACAAGGGGATGCTGGTTCAATGAGGAGGAGTTGCGGTTCCCGGCAACGGGCGTGGAAACTAATGAACGAGGGTCCACCTAGCGCACCAATGTTGTGCGCTGTGCTGCCTGGCTATGCGATCTCGGGGTGCTACCGCAGTTCGAACAGCAGTGCGAACATATTCAAGTCCACCAGAGGCCACAGCAGAATGTATAAATGATCCTCATTTCAGCTCGCCACTCCTATCGTGCTCATGTTAACACCCGGTGTCCATACATCATTCATATGAGCATACCATGTAACACCAACATCATAGGCGAACACAAGTCGTTCAAGCCTTGAACCGGTGTGTTGACCTTGAAAGTATTGCTATTCATGGTGCAGAGTAAATCAGCCCAAGCAGCCGTGTAGATACGCCATGAATGAAGATGACGACGATAAGAGCAACATCGACATCAGCAACGAACCAATAGGTTTCAAAAACTCACAAGGTAGATAGGATCTTTGGTAGAGTTTGGGTTCTACAGAACTTACACCGAGAGGCAAATTTGAAGGCATCTCTGTTTGCAGTTCAACTATTTACATACGCACCCTGGATCCAAAAGGCTTGCCGATTATCTCATCGTGGTGAAATGCCCCGTGCCGGCATTGCCAGATGGTCTTGGCCTTCATGCGGTCGAAGCCAATGGGTTCGCGGCCTTCGAAGAAAACTACCATATCTCCCTTGCGAATCAAGGGAGCAGTCGACGCCTCACCTTGAAATTCGAACATGGGCGGATGGATGAGTGCAGTATAACATGAGCTATCTTTGACGTGCTCATCCTGGCACTAAAGTCACATATCATCACCTGGCAGCAGTGTGGTTTCATTTTGCGGGGTGTACGCTAGCCGATGTGTGGAGCAAGACACAACAGCACCGCTGGATAGCTTCTCTCAGGCTTGTACTTTTCACTGGCATGGCTGCTGCTGCTGCTGCTGCTGCTGCTGTGAACCGGGGACCTCACGACCGCTCTCACCAAGAGCGGCTACGTGTACAGTATGTACTGGGAGGTATGGAATATCTGGGAGCAGCAGCACCTTTGCATAGCCATCGGCGGCCATACGGTCGTACCCCTCTCCAATCTGTTCGTAATCATGGATCAGATTGTTTGGCAAGCTTAACCACAGCAGTACATGCATGGAAAACACGCGGGATGATTGGGCAGATATCTCTCTTTGTTTTACAGTTATACATACTGCGGTACTGAAAGCATTTTTGCCGGCTATCGGTAATAACTTTGTCGCAGCTTAGCCTAGGTACCTCCCCGGTGATCTTTGTCCCGCGCGCCCGCCCTATGTGACGCCCACCCTAAACCTGGGTGTCGGCTAGGGGCTGAAGCAGCAGGTTACTTGCCGGATCCGGCCCTGAAAGGCTATTGTAGTGGAGACCTCATCGCCTAAATGCCCGAGTGGGTTTACCAGCGTAACTCGTGCGCCGCTTACACTTGGTCGTGAGCGTGATAGCTGGACAATCGCGAGGCGAGAGCGCCGCTGCAGCGACGAAGCACTCCCACAACCTCCTACTGCCGTATCTACACACAACGCTGCCTTGGGTTGGACGAATCAGTATGTGTAGTCAATACGCTGGAAAAGCACTCACAGATCGTGGCAGGATCTCTCGACCCATCGGAGCATCGACCTGCGCGGAAATCCATCCCCTGCACTCTACACGTAGAGCCCTGGACGTAGAAGCAGTGAGCGGTGAAAGCAGTGAGGTAGTGTTAATCGCGCGGCAGAGGAGCAGCCCTCCGTAGGTTGAGCCGCATTTTAGGGGGTGACGCGACCTGCTATGCTGGGTATGTGATCAGCTGGAGGTGAGGTTCCCCCGTCATGGGCGTCCGTTGTTCGTTGTTCGTTGTCGCGTTGTTGCTGCACGGCACACAAGGCCCGCCTCCCTCCCCACAGCAACAACAGACAGGTCAGGTAAGATATGGGAGTCAGAAATATCTCGGTGGCTAGGGCGGAGAGAGGGGAGGTCTCCGATCTGTTATGCGTGCAGCAAGCGCTGAGGATCTTGTTGACAACAGCAGTACACCCCGTCGATTTCCCGTTTCTAGTCTGAAGGTTCGGTCCACACACAGCCCGCCGTTGGGGTGCGCATGGAATCATAGCTGCTACGCGCCGAAGAGCGTGTTCGTGCACGACTTCAGTAGCCGTGTCCGTCTTGACATCGTTCTCTAGGCGAGTATCGGTGCGCTATACCCTGACAGATGCCCAGGGGTCCAGGGTGTGCGTTGGTTGGAAGCAGAACAAACTTGGGCAACAGCCTACGAAAACCATAGACTCTGCTCGCCGTGGAGGGGACGTGGTGGCTAACTGCTGTGTCGACAGGCACCACATCAAACAGAGTCACCAAAAGGGGTGGCTGGACAAGACGCAGTATCGCTCGCCCGTCCCCGTGACACCCACAGTAGTTACAACTGTCCACCCAACGCCGCTGTCTGCCGCTGTGGCTTCTTTCTTTCCGAGTTCCGCGGAGTGATATGCGACAAGCTTTTCATTGGCCCACTTGGATGGTTTGCCTCCGAGCCGCGGATGCTCGAAAAAAGTGTCTAACGCCACGGGCTGCCCACAGCCCCGGTACAGATGCAACCATACACTAGAGCAACCAGCAGGAGGTGCTTGCTTGTACTGACGGATGAGCTGTACCCTGTCTGTGCCTGCGCACGAAGGGCCAGCAGGCCAGCAGTTCAACACCATTCCGCGATTCGTTCCCCCCACAGCAACAAACTACTCGCCTTTTTGGAAACACACGTGTACGTATATATAACAATACAAGACTTACCCGCTCGAACAGCAATACACGTGTGTTACACCTTCGAGTTGCACAGCACGATTATCATCACGACGGTGGAAAACCTCAAGCAAGCCTCATGCGTATCATCTGGTGCGATGCCCATAAGAATCGTACTCCGGCGTGTTGGTGGGGGCCCAGGGCATGAGAGAGGGGATTTTTCAACGTTTATATTCTGCCAACACCTCACGTGCAGTTCATGTTCTTCGCTGCTGATGCTCTCTTTTGAGCAGTTCCTCGTTAGCTCACGGGGAGTCTCTGCAATGGCTCATATCTAGGAATCGTCGACCTCGCATCCTCTATGCATGTATCTCGGCCGCACCACATCCACCACCCCAAAGGAATTGCACCGTAAACCATCATTTGATCGTCTTCAACTCAGCGATCGAGCTTGCATTCTGGTCGCTGGAGAGACGCATGTGGCGGTCACAGAGTGCTGGTGGCGCCGCGCAGGCATCAGAGGGTTGGTACTTGTGGTTTCCAAGTCCCCTGCCCATGATCCACAGCAGTAGTCAGATGCCAAGTCGATTTTTTCTCTCTTCCATTGATTTGTCTCTCGGCATGCGTTGTTTCTCGAAACATGAACATGCTCGTCCCTGTTTTGGTATGCATACGGCTCGTCGTGTTTGCCCCCTGATTGTCATCGCGTTCTCGCATTCCATGCTCGCACCTCCCGCCATTCGATTGGTCGCTTCCAGGTAAAGGGAAAGAAAGAACGCTCTACTCAGAAACGATGAAGATCTTCCAGGCCTTGATTCTCGGCATGGCTCTTGTGGCCGGCACCGTGAGTGCCGATGGCGACGTGACTGATGTGAGTCAAGAGTCTCTTGGGTAGTTGTTCCTTGCCGGCCCTTGGCTCTGTAGACGTACAGCAAGCGCTCGCACATGGTGACATTGCAGGAAGAACGCTAGGGTTCCAAGTTTGTATGTTTGTCAAAACATTGAACGCGGACCCTGGTTCTACAAAAACCAAGATAGTGAACCAACATGAACACAAGCTTTGGCGGGTTGCGTAGGCCAGGTCCTGGATCGCGGGCGCTTACTACTGCAGCACAGCTCGCCTCGGTTGCACTGATGTAGTATTAGTATAGGAACCGCAACAACAGCAACAGTCGGGATTTACGCTGCATTCGTCCTGGTGCCTGAGCTTCTGACGACCTGAAGACGGCGTGCAGAAGAACATGAACGATGTGTGAGCGCCTAGTCGGAAATGGGTACGGTGAGATGTGGCTGTTTCCCGCCCGCAGCGCGCGCAGATGTACAAACGTGTCCAACGTGTATAGAAGGGCCAAGTGTTCCCAGATGTATTTCCCAATCGGCGGCGGGCCAGCGAGACCCTCATGATTCTAGTCAACTTTTTCCCTCCTTGGTTGTATGTTCTCCAGTTGGACGTGTAGGGAACTTGCTGTTTCTCGCGTAAAACCGGCGTGGGTCTTGTCTGTGTGTGCATCGAGCCCTTCGAAATGGCACCCGAGTGTTGTTGTTCGGCAACGTGCATCAACAATGAATGCCATCGAAATCCGCTGCATGACCACCGGGTTTTCGCGTGACTACGGGAAGAAAAGGCGTCGAGCACAACAGCATCTTGTTCTCGCTCCATGTCACCTTGATGGCGATATGAATGTACAGTTCTTGCGTCGATCTCTTCTTGAGTTGCTCGGGCTGTGTGTTAACCGCTTGGCCGCAGGTGACTCACCGTGTGTACTTCGACATCAGCATTGCTGGACAGGAGGCTGGCCGCATAACGATGGGACTGTTCGGTAACGCCGTACCCAAGACTGTCGAGAACTTCAGGTAAGTGTGGGTGGGTGTGCTTATTATGTAGCATCAACCACGCTAAATCGGGTTGGCCGCTGAAAGCACATCCGTCTCGTGGCGAGACAACAACACCCGCTTGTATAATAGTGTTGGAGGTTACGTTGTTGCTTGCTTGCTGGAATCGAGTTGAACTGCTCTGGTACACGCATATGGCATGCACACATTTAACCATCGACGGGAAACCCTAGAATCTTGGCGAAACTCGCCGTGATTTTTCTATCCTCACTCGGCTGACGCCACGACTCTTAACTCCTGCATTGATTGGGTGATTGGTGTCGGTTCAGGCAACTGTGTACCGGGGAGGCCGGGCCCGGGAAGGTCTACCGAAAGCCGCTGCACTACAAGGGCTCTGCTTTCCACCGCGTCATCCCGCAGGTATGCCACTGAATGGCAGTACACTGTTTCACATCTGCCCATGTACCAGAATAGACTACCAACCCCAAGTTGGCTGACACACACCGACGGCACAGCAGTGTATTGCTGCACGGTCGTCTCAGAACACTGCCGTACCTTTGACTTTGACCAAAGTCCACCAGGCTCAGTCTTCGTAGCGAACTTGAGGCGCATGTCTGGGGCTGTAGCTAGTGCTGTTGCTCGTGTTGCAGCAATGCCTCATCGAGCAAATAGCCCGGGCGTCCTCCTTGAGCAGCACTGCTGTGCTTGCTACAGGCGCAATTCACTGAACCAAGTTTCTTGGACCCTCCCTTGCTTGCTCCGAAACGTGCAGTTCATGCTCCAGGGCGGCGACTTCACCCACGGAACTGGTACGGGTGGCGAGTCCATCTACGGCGGAAAGTTTGAAGACGAGGCCTTTCCCGTAAGTACAGCAGTACAGTGCAGTGCCCCCATCATCATACAGTCGATACCGACACATCGCTTTGTTGACGGTATGTACAATCCGGGGACGCACAGGGGAGAGAGAGGATGCACGTAATGTCGTTTGTTTGTTTTCCTCCACTTTTCTTCTGCCGTGTTTGCCTCGACTTTTTCTGCAGCGCGAAGGAACCAGCCGCTCGTTTCCTTCGTAGATTACGTTGAGTCGTCCCGGAGCTACAACAATGCTACGGGTATTTAGAAGAGAATGGCCATGGGCATGGCTCATGTACGTACCGCTGAAGATCACGACTCTCACACATGACATACCTTCTCCAGAGTACAGCAGTAGCGACAGAGTCCATCTTAGTGCGATTTCGCTACTGGAGGAAGAGGTCGAAAACAGTAGAGCTGTCTCTTGTCTCTGCGGGGGGCCCTCCTTTACCGACCGGTACTCCGATACACCTTCCCAAGATCAGCGCCACAGATACGTAAGACCGGCAGTAGTGCGCGCGCACATATGCATAATGAGACGCGTTAGTGGAGTATTTCGTCATTGGTGTGGAGGGCAGCCACAGTAATCTTCTCGGTATTTCGCTACTTACTGTACTTACGATTGCTCTGACCCAACCCTTCCGGGTCGGCTGCGAGGATTGCAGTACGATGCGGCTTTGGCGCCATGAAATGCGAATCAAACGCATATACGCTCTCACAAAGACGTCGCCGCTCGTGGCAGCCTCTTACCATACGCCACATATATTTAAGTAATGATTCCGGGATGCATATGCCTGTGTACAACATGCAATTTGTGGACACATATGCCCCCTTTTGTCGCTGCCGCGTACATGGTAGTAACCATGGCACGATACATTGTGTCACATTCGCATGGACCCTTTCGCTTGCCCGCGTGTCTTGGCGGCCAGCCTGAGCTGGTCCACGACAAGCCTGGAGTTCTGTCGATGGCCAACTCGGGTAAGGACACGAACGGGTCGCAGTTCTTCATCTGCACCGTGCCTACTCCGTGGTTGAACGGCAAGCACGTCATCTTCGGACAGGTGAAATAAAACGAGTCAGGGATGCTTGGAATCGCCAAGGGCGTGGGGCGTTTATAAATGTATTAGCACTATGCAAGAGTTTGACGTGACTTTAGCACATGTTGGGACGTGGAATATGGTACCAAGTACACCAGCAGGTGCCGCATTAGGCAAGGAATAGGTACGGTACTACACATGTAAAAATCAAAGATGGTGCAGCACACCAGCTTTCTGTGTCATGACAAACAACGCCAAAGCAAACATGTTGGCAGTAAAGCCTTCGACGCGGTCAAGTATGGACCGCGGTGTTCATGCCAAGGTTTCGCCGGACGCCTGCAGTCGAGGCGGGAAGAAAATCTAAAGCGGGGAAGGCCTGGGCTGCCGTGCGTACACGGCTGTTATTTGATTACCCAGAACCCCAGAGGTGGACGTCAATGGCGTTGCCGTGACGCCGCCCCCCTCTTCCAGCGTTTTGGGATGTACCCTGCAGCCTATGTAATCGCTTAAAACCATCTCCTGTTGCTGCATAGGCCTTAAAGTTTGTGGACTGGTACTCCTTTAGATAGATGTGTGTTTTTTGTTGCGTCGGCAACGGCGATAGCGTTGACAATGCGGTGAAATGGGGACGAAAATGGTCATGCAGAAAGGTGGAAAAAATAACGCGGCGTCAAACGTTTTCCTTCGCGGTTGCCCTTGAACAGGTGGAGGAAGAGAGCATGGAACTCGTGTCAAGAATCGAGAAGCTCGGCAGCCGAAGCGGAGCTCTCTCGGAAAAGGTGGAGATTACCGAGTCCGGAGAGCTCCAGTAGAAGAGCAGAGCAGAGCATCGCGCAGTACCGTGTGCGCGAACGCTAATGTGATGTTTCACGGGAAAGGCGGGGCAATTTCAGTGCTGGAGCGTTAGGTCACGGTTTAATTGGCTGGCCGCCGTTACCTCAATATGTCCAGCTGTTCAGGGAGGTATTACTGAAGTGGTATCAGGTGTCCAGTGGAGTTGGAATGTTCGGGGTTGCTGCTCTCCACGTTCAGCAACATGCGATTTCAGGACGCGATTCCAGGATTAGGGTACGATTACTACAGGCGGTCCTGCTGTTTGTGTAACAGTGACAAGTGTGAGTTCATGTTTGTGGTTTTGATGCCAACGTGTTGCGAACAGCATCAGCCTCTGGGTGTGCTGTTACTGCGGCGTATCGTATGATGAGTGTTGGGGTAACCACAATCTAGTTGTAGTGACACGTTCGACCCTCTTTGGGTAGACATACCGACCGGGTGTGATGTGGTGCCCAAACACTCACCACGAACGACTTTGGCCACCCAAAGACGCAGGAAACTTTTGTGAAAAAAAAACAATCGTTTCTACTACGAAGTCGCTGATGTCAAACCGCCAGTGCCGTGAAAGACACACAATCAGTCACCCGATGTCGAAAAGGGACCCCTCGTCAAGTCAACCCCACAACGGCGCATGGCAATTATGCCATTCCGGGCCTTGCACACCTACCCTGTGTCCTTCCTTCCTTGATGCCCCCGGCACAACAAGGTTAGACATACAACGCAGGTGGTGTGTCCGAAACCATCCCAACGTGTGTCCATCTTCCAGCTACGTGATGTCCATACCCCCCCCCCCCCCCCCCCCCCCCCCCCCCCCCCCCCCCCCCCC